GAAGGGACAGCGCAGGAGAGGAAGGCCCTCTACGAGGTGGACTGATTCAGTGACTGGGATAATTGGGATGGGAGTGTGAGAGACGGTGCGTTTGGCACAGGACAGAGCGGAGTTTAGGGCTGTTGTACATAGGGTCGCTATGAGTCGCAGGCGACTCGACGGCACATAACAACAACAAACAAGTCTTATTGAATTGTAAAAGCTTAATTTTGTTTTTTCTTTGGGCTCTAATTTTGATAAAATCCAATGCATCAACTTTCTTTATGATTTAGTGCTCCTTGCATCCTGTGTAAAACAATCATTGCCCATCCAAAGCTGTGATGAGTTTCTCTTATGAAAGAGCTTATTTTCACAAATTCATTTTAACAACAATAATCACCAATTACTAGGAGAATGAACTAGGAGAACTGCTAGGAGAACAAATGGGGTCATCCTGGAGAGGGTGAGACCAGGCTGCTCCTTGGAGGCAAGGATTCTGAGAATTCATCTGACATACTTTGGACATGTTACAAGAAGGTAGAGGGACATCATGCTTGGGAGGATAAAGGGTCATCCTAAGAGAGGAAGATCCTCGATGAGATGGATTGATTCAGTGACTGGGATAATGAGGTTGGGTGTATTGGAGACAATGAGATTGGCACAGGATAGAGCAGGATTTAGGGCTGTTGTACATAGGGTCACTATGAGTCTTAGGTGACTCAACAGTACTTAACAACAACACTTTGATCACACTGAATTCTTCTATAAAGACATGAATCTCTCAAATCCTGGTGAATACCTCTGCCAAGAGTACTTCTTGGCCTCGTGGCAAGACACTGCACTGCAATCCCAGAGGTATGCGGTTCAAATCCACCAGATGCTCTGCTGGAGAAGGAGGGGGAAATCTCCTCCTGTACCAGTCAGATCTGATTTGACGGTACACATAAAAATAATACAGTAAAAATTAAAAAAAATTTTTTTTAAAAATAAAAAAAATTTAAAAAAAGAGTACTTCTTGGCTGAAAATGTCTAAAGAACAAAAATATACTTTCAAAGTGTCACCATGAAACACAGTATGTTTAAAGATGCCACGACTAAAAGAGACACATGAAATGTGCTTAAATCGTCTCTGGCTTTGTCCCAAAAACTGCTGGCTCAGGTGTTAACTGTTACTGTACTTCTCACTTGAAATGTGACCAAAATGAACCTTTTAAAGGTGACCTGCTATAGTATTTGGAGTTTTCTAATTCATTTTAAGGAACCAAGGTGCTGTGTGAGGCATACTTCTTAAGTGAACAGTCAGTGGCTTGACTTGACCAACTGTTTCCTGGGAAAAATATGGGTAATCTCTCAAAAGTTCTACAATCTCAATATAGAAACCCAAGTGAGGGTCAGTATGTATGGGTTCAACAATATCAAGTTTGGAGTTTTTTTCCGTTTGTTTTGGTAATCAGTTTCAACACTGAGATTAATGCAAAAGCAACTATTAGACAAAGATGGTAGATCCAGTTTGTACTTTCCCCCCTTTGTATCAAATATTTTAAAAAATTACAAAATGGATTGTTGTTGTTACTGTGTACTGTGGAGTTGGAACTGGTCTATACTGGACCTTGCAATGGGTTTTCAGAGAGAGTTAATCAAATGGGAAGTGACTGACTGCCCATCTTCCTTCCGCAGAGCAGTTGGTGAATTCGAACTGCCTGCCTTGGGGATTGCAGTGCAGATCCTCACAAATAGGCCACCAAAAGGAGTATTTTCTTAATATATCATATAATAGTCACATATTATCTTAAAAACACATTCTTAATCCAAAAATGAACATGAAAATTATGAAATTATCTGCATCAATATATAATCACAATCTAAATGCACTACTCCTCACAGTCAGGTGCCCATATCTTAATAATCACTTAATCTATCCAAACAAAGAAAAGTTTTCAATAAGGTTGGTAAAGAGCCATAATCAGACTTAAAGAGGTTGGGGTTTTTTTGAGATTTTAGTGAAAATTTATAGAGAACTTGGATTTCCATTCATTCACTGTTGCACATTTTCCTCCCTGCCCCTGCATCCTGTTCGCTTTTCTCTTTGAAAAAAAAAATCTTTCACTGTTGTATAATCCCAAGTCCACTTTACTACACAGCTCTTATTCTGGACTGGTGTCATGCTAATAATACCTAATCATATATTCTTTTCAAGCAATTCTATTCCTCATCTGAAATTCAAACAGTTTTAAAAACACCATTTTATTAGTATTACTGACCTATGACCAGGCCTAGAACTCCTGGGGAGGTTACTAGTGTGGAGAAAAGAAAACTCAACAGTGCTGTTGCTCAGTCTGTTGATATACCGCCTCAAATTACTAAGAGGATGTGAAGTGGATATCTACGAGCTTTAGATTCCATATATTATTTCTAGTCACCAGTAATGAAAATGCTGTAGTTAAAACTACATATTAAAAAGTATAAAATGCAGAACCCACAAAATACCTAACTGGAATCTATCTATATCCAGGTCAACAACTTACTACACCGGCAAAAGTAAAAAAAAAAACCAGAAAAAACAAACCCACCATAATGTAAGCAAGGTGAGAAAATATACTCCAGAGTCTTTCCTTCTACCACTAGGAAAATGCTAGGTGCACCTAAATGCAACAGCCAATCACAATGAAAGGTACACTGCTAGCCTTAAAGTATCTTCCAATTTATTAAGCATCTAGAAAAAGAATTTGAGATACATTTAAGACAAACTGGTTTCACTGCTTCATTGACATGAGTATCTGAGAAGTCAAGGATAAAAAAAGAAAGACGGCTACATTTAGTTACTTATTTATAAGACAAGATATCAAAAACTACACAAGTATTCCACTTACAGATTGTTATTAGCTTTGTATGTTGTTAGGTTTCATCCAGCAGACTGTAGGTCACAGCAACCCTATGAACAATAGAACTGAATCCTGCCCCCTCCTGTACCATCCTCACAAGCTCTGATATGCTC